AGGCATACCTGTGCCGATCAAGAAAGGCTTCTTTGTCGGCGCGTCGCGTCCAGACTGCCCCGATCTGCCAACAAACAGCTGATCGGCAGAGCGGGGCAGCCATTTAAATTTAAATGAAGCCGCGATTATTTTAATCGCGGCTTCATTTCCCTCTGTCGATCTGGCTAATCTATATGCCTCCGTCGACAGAGGCATGTAGTCTAGACACACCCCTACTGACCCTCCACCCCCTCAATTCCGTCTTACTGATGGTGATGGTTGTTGGAACGTACTTTGCAAGCACTCCGAGCAGTTCTCACCTGTTTTGGTTTTTTTTTATAGTGTTAGCCAGTGTTTTTCTAGTTGATTGTTTTTATCTTGTAAATAGTTAAGTGTTAGTAGTTACTTAAATTTGGGGCCCGCGTTGCATCTCCAGCACCTGCGGCAGGGCATGCCCGGGCCCCAAGGCTTCAACCCTGTGTGAAGTGCCAGAAGCCTATGCCCTGTGGGGATGCCCAAAAAGTCTGCCTCAAGAGCCTCGGAGAAGCCCATCTGTTCGAGCCATGTAAGATCTGAAAGGGCTTCAAGCCACACATCAAGCAAGGGAGAGAGTCTCAGTTGAAGATTATCCTCATGGAAGCAGCCCTTCATCTGCCACTGGCACTTCGCCACTCATATTGGGGCTCAAGTTCAGTGACTCCAATGACTCGGGGCAAGCCTCACCTGGGCCCCCTGCTGAGAGAGAGCCACCCATGGTTCACCCTCCTATGGTGATGTCCTCAGTGGCTTCACAAGCCCGTGATCCAGAGAAGGTGGGCCTGAAGGGGTCATCTTCCTCTTTGCCAGATGAGGCTCTTGGTGGTGTGCTTCCTTCTCTCCATGGACTCGAGGTCACATCAGGACCTCCTTCGCTGCCTGGTCCAGAGTTTGGGAGTTCAGGGAGAAAAGATGTCGAAGGACTCAAACCTGACAGTTGACAGTCTGCAGCCTGATGCCCCTACTAGGGTGGCCCTGCCCCCAATAAGACCATAAAGGATCATAAAGACCCTTTAACAAACTCTGGTCTCCATCTCACTGACTGATAAGAAGGTTGAGAGGTGGTACTTTGTGCTGCAGGAGGGGAATGAGCATCTCTTCCCCAGTCCCCCTGGGGTCCTTCATTCTTGAGGCAGGGAACCAGGAGGAAAGACATGGGTAACTGGGTCCAATGCTCAAGAGCAGGGATGCTAAAAAAAGATGGACCTTCTGGACAGGAAGGCCTCTGTGTCTGGGGATCTGCAGCTTTGCATAGTGAATCAGGAGGTATTGCTGAGTTGCTATGCTTACAACACATGGGCTGCAATGGACAAGTTTATCCATCCTTAGTTCAAGTCTCTCTGAGGAGGGCAGAGTGGTCTCTCGGGTGGCCCTCCAAGAGGCCCTAGACGCAGCAGATGAGGATGTCCGCACCATGGCCTCGGACCTAGTATTGCTCCACAGCTCTTGGCTGCAGGTGCCGGGGGTGCTTCCTGAGCTCCAGACCACCATTCAGGACCTCCTCTTTGAGGGGCCAACCCTGTTGTCAGAGCAGACTGACCATCATCTGCATGGCCTGAAGGACACCGGGCCACATTAAAATCTCTCAGGATCCATACCCCTGCCCCTCAGAGGCACTCCTGCTCAAGCAGAAATGCCCCCAGCCCTGCCTAACAGGGCATTTTCCTACATTTCTTCTGACATAGGGGGAGGAATGGTAATAGTAGAAACAATAGGAGCCATTCTCGCCCTTCTTGGGATCGGGGGGCAGGCCACTCAAATAAGCCCCAGGGCCCCTGACAAGAAGCTGGCAGTACAGTAACAGGCTAGCCACATTAGTGCGTCATAAGATTGAATGTCAACCTAGTGATGTTGGTCAGGTTGACTTTAAAATCTCTTTGCTGCTGGCAATTCTTAATGTTCTTTCAGTGTCAATATGATATGCCTTGTCTCAAATTCTCACTTTTAATTTTGATTAAATCTGACTGCTCCATCAGGCAAAAATTACTAGTTAGTGAAAGTTGAAAAGTTTTATAGTAAAATGTACATATTGGGAGTCTTTTTGTTGTTGTTGTTGTTCTCAGTCTGTTTGGGATCACATATTTATAGTGCATATATGCAGTCTTGAATAGCTGAAGAATGTCTCAAAGGGGAAAGGAAGGATCTGCCCTATAAATTGTGTTTTCAGAATAGAATACCCCTACAGATAGGAATTTTGCCACAGCAACATCTGCATGAGGTTTTTGAAATAATAGAGGAGGATGGGTTGTCCTTCCTGTGATTCATTCTGAATGGTTCTTAAATTGTACTTTTTAAGATTCTTACACCCACGTCCTTACACAGTGTTGCGAGAACTCATTTGCTACTCTACAGGAATGGTTTCTACTTTATTGATATTTAGAAACACTAGTAATACCTTAACACTTGTAAGCATACCTTATGCTCCCAGCTCACTCTTATTTTATAGAGAGATATTAATTAACTTTCCTTTTTAATACTCTTCAGCAGTTGTGCTTTCACATTGTTTATTTTTTTAGTCTCTTGCCTGTGAATTTCTTTTAATTTATTTGATTCCAGATGAAAAATGCTTTATGCCTAAAAGTATGGGAAATAACTGACTAGGCAGCAGTACTGCCAGAAATGATCTGGGAACTAGAGTGGATTACAAATCAAACAAAAAGGCTAATGCTGTTCTGAGGTGGATTATTGAGTGTCACGTGTAAGCCATGGGAGATGATTCTTTTCATCACTGGTGAGGCCTCAGCTGGAGTATTGTGTCCAGTTTGGGGCACCACAAATCAGAAAAGATGTGAAGAAACTGGAGAGAATTCACAAGAGAGCAACAAACATGATTAAATATTTAAAAAATCTGACCGATAAGGAAAATTTAAAAATTGGTTATGTCTTCTCTTGAGAAAAGAGGGCAGAGGGGAACCACTGTTATAGGCTGAGGACTAACTGGCTAAGCAATTCGGCAGAAAAGGACCTAGGGAATACAGTGGACAAGAAGCTGGATATGAGTCAACAATGTACACTTGAAGCCAAGAAGACTAATGACATATTAGTGTGCGATAGGAGAAGCATTTCCAGCAGATCTAGAGATGTGATTACTCCACTTTATTCGACACTGGTGAGGCCACATCTGGAGTATTGCATGCAGTTCTGGGCCCTCCACTACTGAAAAGATGTAGACGCATTGGAGAGGGTCCAGTGGAGGGCAACCAAAATTATTAGCGGGCTGGAGCACATGACCTTCGAGGAGAGGCTGAGGGCTTTGGGCTTTAGTCTTCAGAAGAGTGAAGGGGGATTTGATAGTAGCCTTTAACTGCCTGAAGGGAGGTTCCAAGGAGGATGGAGAGAGGCTGTTCTCAGTAGTGACAGATGGCAGAATGAGGAGCAATGGTCTCAAGTTACAGTTGGGGAGGTCTAGGTTGGATATTAGGAAAAACTATTTCACTAGGAGGGTGGTGAAGCACTGGAATGGGTTACCTAGGGAGGTGGTAGAATCTCGAGGATTTTAAGTCCTGGGCTGACTAAATTCATCCCAGCCATGACTTTGTTAGGATTGGTCCTGCTTTGGGGAGAGGACTGGACTTGATGACTTCACTATGATTCTATGATTTTTAACGTGGTAAGTCTTCAAATACAAGAATGGCCATACTGTGTCAGACCAAAGGTCGGTGTAGCCCAGTTTCCTGTCTTTCAACAATTGCCAATACTGGGTGCCCCAGAAGTGATGAACTGAACAAGTAATCATCAAAAAAATCTAGAATGTTCCTGTAGCAGATTAGAGACTAACAAAATACATACACATACCAGGGGACTGCATCCCCTGCTCACTATGCTTGCCAACCCCCCTCTCTCTGGGAGTAGATGTTTGGCCAGGGGGAGGATACAGAAGCAAGCTGGGGTGAGGGTGCAAGAGCAGGGGATGGTGCAGGAGCAGGCTGTGGGTAGTTGTCTGGCCAGGTGGCGGGGGCAGGAACACACTGGGGTTTCGGGGTGTTGGTGGAAGAGCTAAGCAAGGGGACTGGAGTGTGGGGTCTCTGTGGAGGGGTGTGAGTGTGAAGATTTCTGGGTGGAGGAGGTGTGTGAGGGAGCTGGGGGTGCAAGGTCTCAACAGGGTGGGGAGTAAAGGGGCTGAGGATGGAGGGTCTCAGCTTCGGGGGTCTGAGTGAGTGGGCTGGGGGTACGTGGGGTCTCTGTTTGGGGGGGTATGAGTAAGTAAGCTGGAGGGGTGGGGACGGGGGAGGCCGCGTGTGTCTCGCATCCCACCTCCCTGGAGCACCGGGGCAGGGCACTGCGGGACAGAGAGTGACGTGATAGTCCACTCCCTTACCAGCACAAACTGTTCTGCTCTTCTGATGTTAAGGGCTGTTATAAAGTAGACATGGAGGACAACTGATCACTGTCCACGTACTGTAGGACAGGAATTATCTTAAATTTTGGTTAGATATTAAAAAAAAACTTTTTAACAATAAGGATAGTTAAGTACTAATAGGTTATACAAAAATAAAAAAAATTAAATAAATGTACATTATATTCAATAGACATGAAATGTTGCATTAACCTAGTTGGTACACACCTAATCTATAAACATAATGAAACAGAATTATTCTTTATCACTTGCCTTATTGGGAAACAAGATTGTAATTGCCCTTTCATGCACTGGAAGGTTCAGTATGAATATGAAAATAATAAAATCCATAAAATTGTCAATTTGTGTCTGCAAACTGTTTGTATAGTTATATGTAATCATTTAAAAATTGGCTACAGGTCTGAAAGTCTATTTAGTTTACTATGTGCTGAAGTTTTCATAAATGGGTTAGAGGGAGAGGTTTGCTGTGTAACTTTGGATGTATGGCATGCTCTGCATCTACCAGCAATACCTGAACCTGATAAACTCAACTGCAGCTTGAATGCATGCTAGTAAAGATAAATGGATGAGTGAGTTCAGAGTTGTACTGAACTCTGTTCTTGGGAACTAAGTGGGTAAGCCATCCCAGGATACTCCTGAGTGTGTTAGATCTCAGAGGCCACACCAATACTGTTAAAATTTTCATTTTGAGGAGGGGTGGGGGCGGAAATAAAGCATTGTAAAAAGTCATGTCTGCTGTATTAGGAGCCAGTGTGGATTTAAAAAAAAAAAAAAAAACTCTTGCTCACGTTAGTGTTTTGCAGTAGTTATGTTTTATCAAGTGCGCTTCAGAAATTTGTCAACAGGGTACTGTTAGTGATGAGTAGGTTTGTAATCCATTTTTTCTTATTTTAGGTCACGAGATAGGATTTATTATCTTAGAACTATGAATTTTCAAAATGTTGTCCTTCATGCCTCAGCTACAAGATTGGCATAACATTGCTTTATTTTTAGGGGTGTTGCTTTCAGAGGGACCTGTGAATGCTCAGCACTTCTAATAATAAAGCCACTTATTTAGGTTCCTAAATAGAAACTAAGGTTACCAACTTTATTAGGCATCCAAATGTCAACATTCTGGCCATAGGTTTTGGCAAATAGAACATGTGTCTCCTGGGTTGTAGTCCTCTTCTGTAATTTATAAGGTCATCATTTAAGTGCTAACAAGGTGAAAATCTTTAGATCTGCAGCAATAACAGTTAGGACCATAAAAATAGTGTGTTGCAGCCAGGACTTTCAGTTTAAAATGACTGAAACCAATAAATTGCTAGGATACAATCCATATTTTTTTTATCAAGAATCAATATAAAAAAGAAACACTTCGAAAAATCCTGCATCTTCTGGTTTTGTTACAGACATTTAGACCATCACAAACTCTGGGATCCCAATGAATTTGCTGTCAACTGCTTCAAAATTATCATGTACTCTATACAGGTAGGTTTCTTCTCGTCTATTGATTAGACCTGTGTGTACTATATAAGAACAAAGCTGATGAGAAAACAAGCATATAATCCATATAATGATAGATCTTTCTGTTGGTAGATACAGGTATAGAATCTACAATGTCCCTCCCATTTATATGCCATACAGGAAAATTTATTCTCACCCTCCAGTATTTGTCAAGCAGTTTAACCCTATACCTGTGACCAAGAGTCTCAGCAACTGTGATTCTAATCTCATATGCATTCAGATTTTGAAGTGTGAGGAAGGAGAAAGGGACTTGAAAGTTAGTTAATTTTATTCTATTTGTTCTATTTTACACACATCCAAAAGGAAGTGAATTGTCACATTATTAACTCAAACCCTTGATATAAATGATATAACTAATATTTGCCAGTCCTTCAGTGTACCAATGACTCCACCCTTATTCTGAGAAATTTGAGAGATATGGGGTACTAATTTAAATTAGTCCGTTGTAGCATCTTTTATCCACCTTTAGTCCCACTCTTCATTGACTGGAATTTAGAAATGTATAATTGTGTCTGTGGGGGTTTCGGGGTGCGATCACCCCCTCTTGGTCCGAGAGGGGGGGTCAGCGAACCCTAGTGCCCCCTCTTAGTGCCTATCGGGCCCCCCAATACTGGGTGCGATCACCCCCTCCCAGGAAGAGAGGGGGGGTCAGCGAACCCGTCAATAGTTACCCGTCTCTGCGGGGTGGGGCAGCAGACCCCTGGTTCAGAGTTTCCCCTTGCGGGGTTGTGACTTGTAGCGTCTCTCTGTTCAGGCCGCGGGGAGTGGGATGTTCCCTTCGTGGAGGGAGGGGGACCCGGTCCCACCCTCTCTCCGGGTCCCAGCCCGGGGCCCTAAGCGGCGGGGCCTGCTAATGCCCCGACGCGGTGGATGAGGGAGTTAATCCCTCCGCAACTCGTCCACCGAAGGTCGCCAAAAGCGCCCTGCCCCGGGCTCCTTCCTCCCTCCGGGTGGCTCTCGCCAATCGTGCCCCGCGTC